TTCCCGGTGGTCAAGCTGGCCTGTGCGGACACGTACGTCATCGAGACAGTGACCTTCACCAACACTGGCATGGTGCCCACAACCTGCTTCCTCCTCATCCTCGCCTCCTACATCCGCATAGTCTACTCTGTCCTGAAGATGAACTCAGCCGAAGGGCGGCGCAAAGCAGTCTCCACTTGTGCCTCACATCTGGCCGTGGTGACGCTGTTCTTTGGGCCCAGTACCCTGGTCTACACGCAGCCCCAGCTGAGCAAAGTGCTGGTGACCCCTGTGCAGATCTTCAGCAATGTGGTCACGCCCATGCTGAACCCGGCCATCTACACGCTGAGGAACAAGGAGGTGAAAGCGGCTCTGAGAAAACTGAGAGGGGGTCAAACGCCTGCACGTTGATGTGCGGCAGCTGCAGGAGTAGCATGTGGGTCTGTTTGGAAATACATCGACAAACACATCTCTCTCTGTCTCTCCCCATCCCTACACAGCCCCTTTCTATCTATCTATCTATCTGGATCACTAAAAATCATAGAAATACGCTTACTTAGCTGTCTGACATGCTGTAAGGCTGACATTTTGAAAGCTGCCTAAGGGACAGGCACACTCAGTCTGCACTATAATTAATAGAAATTGGAGATTCAAACCTTGAAGAGGACTTTGAAAATCTCAGCCTTATTGCACAGCTCTACAGAGCTCGAACTCTTTACGTCCATCATTATAAGGCAGGTTTTCTAATCCTTCAATTATTCTCATGGCTCTTCTCTGATTCCTCTCCAATGTGTCAGCACCCGTCTGGAATTGTAAACACCAGCACTGGACAGAGTGTACCATCAGTGGTCACACCAATGGTAAAATCACCTCTCTGTTCATACTAGAGATTGCTCCTTTATGTATCCCAAGCTCACATTAGGTCTTCTGGCCACAGCATCGAACTGGGGGTTCACGTTCAGCTACTTTGACACCATGATCCCCAAATCTTTTTCAGAATTGCTGCTCCCCAGGAGAGAGGCCCCCATCCTGCAAGCACAGCCTCGATTCTTTGTTCCCAGATGTGCACGCATACGTTTAGCTGCATTAAAATATCACAAATCCAGACTTATGGTGCCTGAGAAAAGAAAACCTGGAATGGGAAATCAGTGCACAAAATGTGTACATTGATTTTTAAAACCGCTGTAGCTTCTGATGGACTATGGGAAAGCTCCATTAACCTCCAAGCCATGGGTACTGGGTGGCCATAGAGAGCAGGTGGCTATAGTATTTTGTAACTGAGAACTGTATCAATTCACCACACCTACATTTAAAGAGCCCATGGGAATTATTTGTAAACCATTATCTTACAGTTAAGACAAAGGCCTGGGACACAGGAGATCTAGGTTCCAGTATAGGCTCTGTATATGACCTTAAGTAATTCACTACATTGCTTTGTGCCTCAGTTTCCTGACCTGTTATATATGTGTAATGTAGAGCTACTGAGACTACTGAGTGAGAGAGATTAGTGAAGCTGCTTTACAGCCTTAGCTAAGTGCCAGTTAACTAGAAGCTCATTCCTTTAGCTCCAAAGGTCCCCGGTTCAATCCTGCCTGCTGACAGCCCAAGTCTGTTGGCGTTACATGTGGATAATTAAATCCTCTGTCACTCTCAGCTATGAAATGTGTATCATATTCAGGTGGACACTGTGCCTATGTATCTGTGCTGTGTGTTGCACAAAGGGACCCATGTCTCTGTTCCAGACTGTAGGTCCTACCATAATATCTATGATGATAATACAAATTAAAATAGTCAAATGCAGTTTCGGGTCCAGTGTCTGTGGCAATGACACACGGAACTCAGCTGATGGAAACCAAGAATAACTTCTGAGCCTGGTACCCAGTGCAGTGAGAAGGCCCAGCCTGGGGACTCATTAGAAATATCAACATTTTAATTAATCCTAGTGGCCATTGCACTCCGTGGGATGCTCTGATTGGGCTGGGGATAACACAGCTACAGAGATTAATTATACCATCTGCTTCTGCCTCTTCATCCTGGCTGCCAGGTAAGACACCCCCCAGAGGAAGGGCAGGAAATGATAGCGATTAGAGAAATCGCAGAGGGCCTTATTAAAACTGTGGTGCTGGGACACTGACAAATAGATTGATGAGATAATTGCTGGAACCCCCCTAATCTAGCCCTGTCTCTCTCACATCCCTCTTTGTGTGGTGTCTACGGATTTGTATAGCGCTTCCCATCAATGTAGCTAACCCCTGCCAACCTCTTAGTGTAGATGCACAGTAGAGGTGAAAGACGAGGCTCGTGTCTATTCTGCTTAGCTAGCTAGTGAAGGAGCAGCTTTGGTTCAGTTAAATCAGACGTAATTCTGTAAAGACCCTTTCTCCTGCACACTGATTGTGCAAAGGGGAGGGTAAGAGAACACTCCCAAGACCCAGAAAGACACAGAGCAATGTTCATTCCAATGAGAAGAGGAGGGATGGCATTGATAATGTTTTCTGTGCTTGGGTTGGTTAGCAAACTCTGAAAGGCTGGTTCTGTGTCACTCTGTCTGTGTGGCACCCAGAACAATAGTGCCTTGATCTACTCCTGGGAGAATTTCTGTGCCAAAAAATTTAAAAATTGTGCAACAAAAAAATTAAAAACTCTGCGTACAATATTTGAAAAACTCTGCATCTCCTGTCTGGGGTCATACAGTATGGCTGGGAGGGGCTGCCAGCATGGGAAGCTGGCTCCTGGGAATGGCGACACCAAGTTCTTCTCTCCTTGGCTGCTGCGTTTCCTGGGAGTAGAGCCCTGTGGATCAGTGGATACCAATTGCTATCCATGGATATCCTCATCCGTGGATATAAATTTGTATCCGTGCAGGGCTCTACACACCAGTTTGAATTATTTATGGTCATTTATTTCAAAATACCTGTAAGTAAGTATTCTGTAACATAAAAAATGATTCAGGAAATGCTTTTTGACAAATAGAGTTCTGTATTATATGCCTAGTATGGAATCTGAGTAATAATTCATTCAAACTACAATATAGAACCATATTTCCTGCACTTCTCAGAAGCAGTGCAAAGGCTTGGGGGAATCAGGGATAATGGAGGAGCTGAGGGAGAGGGAAGTAAATTGCTGGGAAGGAGCCCAGGTGTGAACTTGGAGGGTTGTCAGATATGGGTGGGAAAAGTATGGAACAGGTTTTTTGGGGGGTGCAGGGATGGATTGTTAGGGAGTTTTCCCCATGCAGACCCTGGTTGACCCCTAGCCTCTCCCATTCAGTCAGGTACATCTTCCCCTATTCCCATGTGTCCTTGTACCCCCTGTCCACATGTGTTCCTCCACCCCCACTCCCATCCCCCTGTGACACTTCACTCCCTCCCCCGTCCCTATGTGACTCTGTACCCCCTCCCCCCGCCCCCATGTGTCTCTGTGCCCCCACTCAACCACTCTCTGTCCCTATGTAGCTCTGCACCCCCTCCCCCATCACCATGTGGCTTTGCACCCCCTCTCCTCTGTGGCTCTGTGCCTCCACTCCCATTCAGCCCCTGTACCAGTCTGTCCTCTCCCAGTAGCCCTTATGATCCCCTGTCTGACTCCCCAACAGCCCATGCTGTCTGTCTCCCCATAGACCCTGTTTCCTGACCTGGCCCAAGAGGTGATGTGAAGAAGGCAGGCTCTTTCTCTTCCCTAGCTGGTGGGGAGCTGGGCTTTGTTCTATCACCACAGCGCCCTCTGGTGGGCAAAAGGCAGAATTGCAGCAATATTTTGGCAGAAGCTTTTTTCTGCGCAAAAAATTAAAAATATGTGCGGCTCATTAAAGCTGAAGTAGGGCAGAATTTCCCCAGGAGTAAAGTCTCGACTCCATCTTAACAATGAAACCATGGTCAACCACCTCCATAATTATACAGATACGTAGGTCAAAAGAAACTGTTCATACATTACAATATTTAACAATCTTTGCTAGCTGTCATTTCACCGAAATGATGCAAAATCCAGTAATTGCTCATGAGGCTGATGCCTCTGCTACCACATTCTTCCGGGAGCTTATCCCAAGAGTGAGTGAAGAAAGATAAAAGCACCTTCTTCTTCAAAGGTTTACTCTTTGTTTCAATTGTTTCATCCAAAACATGAGCACAGCAGGGTATGTGAAATCTCCGGCTCCAGGAAACCAACCAACCATTCCACAATGTGGGTTAAGAAAATACTTCGCCTGTGCACAGAGAGGTGGCAGCCGGAAGCATTTGAGCTAAGGGGGCACCGTGAGCATACAACAAAGTGGGTAGAGGTGCAATTAACCCTGAAAACTGTGACACTCAAAATGGTCTATTCTGGACTTAAAGTCTATGAAAACATGATCAGTTTCTTACCTTGGCCTTCCTCCCGGCCAAACCTCCTCCATTAGGTTCCACCATTATCTGCCAACTACCCTGGAAGTTCTTCTGGGGAGGATCCGTCTCTCACTGTGTGTCTGTTATGCACAGCGGGGTCCTAATCTCAGTCACTGTGTGTCTGTGATACACCTGGCACGGTGGGGTCCCAACCTCAGTCATTGTGTGGCCCTGAAGTGCCTTGCATGGTGGAGGTCAGTTTCTGTGTATTTAGGCAGCACCTGCCACAAAGGGGTCCCAGGCTCAGTAACTGTGTGTCTGTGCAGTCCTTGGCTCTGTGGGGTCCCGGTCTCTGTTACTGTGCGACTGTGCACTGCTTAGCACAGTGGGATGCCAGTCTCGGTTACTGTGTCTCTGTGCAGTGCTTGGCACAACGGGGTCCCAGTCTAAGTTACGGTGTGTCTGTGCAGTGCTTGGCACAGTGAGGTCCTGGTATCAAACACTGTATGTCTGTGCAGTGCTTGGCACAGTGGGGTCCAGGTCTCAGTTACAGTGTGTCTGTGCAGTGCTTGGCACAGTGGGATGCCAGTCTCAGTTACTGTGTGTCTGTGCAGTGCTTGGCACAGTGGGGTCCCAGTCTCAGTTACTGTGTGTCTGTGCAGTGCTTGGCACAGTGGGATGCCAGTCTCAGTTACTGTGTGTCTGTGCAGTGCTTGGC